TATGATTAGTATTTTATTTGTGATCATGAACGTCGATCAAGGGGGTCATCTGTCCGACCGTCCTGTACAAGTATATACAGGAATTCGCGCTATATGCACATACATGTGCATGTGGCTTTTCAAGATTGGTAGAGCGCATGCTTTCCGATAATAGGATCCCGAGTTCGAACCTTTCCCACTGCCTTTTTGACCTTCATCAAAGCAATTTATCCACAATTATAGATGCTTTATACTCGGGTGTATAAATGAATACCCTGTAGGAGGTAAGACCCCTCATGTACAAGATCTTCTCAATGCCCATGAGCCGCTTAAGAGGATTGCTCCCCAGGGAGTTGAGATGGTGCACACAATGTGCGCTGGCTTGCATTGTTTCCTATGACCGGGCTAATAATATCATTGTAAAGCGCTCATCATTCAAAATTGGCGCTATATAACTCAAAATATAACTTTTAATTATAACTTATTATAGTTATTATAGTTAACTAATATTGGCTTTAGTAATTATTACAATGCCTACGTTATTTAAGCACTTTGCAACTCCGAAACAAGAGGACACTGTAGTAACCACGATTAGACAGGGCTATGGGGAAATTATTTGTATATATATGAATAGTATTTTATTTGTGATCATGAACGTCGATCAAGGGGGTCATCTGTCCGACTTCCTGTACAAGTATATACAGGAATTCGCGCTATATGCACATTCTTGTGCATGTGGCTTTTCAAGATTGGCAGAGCGCATGCTTTCCGATAATAGGATCCCGAGTTCAAACCTTTCCCACTGCCTTTTTGACCTTCATCAAAGCAATTTATCCACAATTATTGATACTTTATACTCGGGTGTATAAATGAATACCCTGTAGGAGGTAAGACCCCTCATGTACAAGATCTTCTCAATGCCCATGAGCCGCTTAGGAGGATTGCTCCCCAGGGAGTTGAGATGGTGCACACAATGTGCGCTGGCTTGCATTGTTTCCTATGACCGGGCTAATAATATCATTGTAAAGCGCTAATCATCCAAAATTGGCGCTATATAACTCGAAATATAACTATTAATCATAACTTATACTTAACTGATATTGTCTTTAGTAATTATTACAATGCCTACGTTATTTAAGCACTTTGCAACTCCGAAACAAGAGGACACTGTAGTAACCACGATTAGACAGGGCTATGGGGACATTATTTGTATATATATGATTATTATTTTATTTGTGATCATGAACGTCGATCAAGGGAGTCATCTGTCCGACTTCCTGTACAAGTATATACAGGAATTCGCGCTATATGCACATTCATGTGCATGTGGCTTTTCAAGATTGGTAGAGCGCATGCTTTCCGATAATAGGATCCCGAGTTCGAACCTTTCCCACTGCCTTTTTGACCTTCATCAAGGCAATTTATCCACAATTATTGATGCTTTATACTCGGGTGTATAAATGAATACCCTGTAGGAGGTAAGACCCCTCATGTACAAGATCTTCTCAATGCCCATGAGCCGCTTAGGAGGATTGCTCCCCAGGGAGTTGAGATGGTGCACACAATGTGCGCTGACTTGCATTGTTTCCTATGACCGGGTTAATAATATCATTGTAAAGCGCTAATCATCCAAAATTGGCGCTATATAACTCGAAATATAACTTTTAATCATAACTTATTATAGTTATTATAGTTAACTGATATTGGCTTTAGTAATTATTACAATGCCTACGTTATTTAAGCACTTTGCAACTCCGAAACAAGAGGACACTGTAGTAACCACGATTAGACAGGGCTATGGGGACATTATTTGTATATATATGATTAGTATTTTATTTGTGATCATGAACGTCGATCAAGGGGGTCATCTGTCCGACTTCCTGTACAAGTATATACAGGAATTCGCGCTATATGCACATTCATGTGCATGTGGCTTTTCAAGATTGGTAGAGCGCATGCTTTCCGATAATAGGATCCCGAGTTCGAACCTTTCCCACTGCCTTTTTGACCTTCATCAAAGAAATTTATCCACAATTATTGATGCCTTATACTCGGGTGTATAAAATAATGAATACCCTGTAGGAGGTAAGACCCCTCATGTACAAGATCTTCTCAATGCCCATGAGCCGCTTAGGAGGATTGCTCCCCAGGGAGTTGAGATGGTGCACACAATGTGCGCTGGCTTGCATTGTTTCCTATGACCGGGTTAATAATATCATTGTAAAGCGCTAATCATCCAAAATTGGCGCTATATAACTCGAAATATAACTTTTAAACATAACTTATTATAGTTATTATAGTTAACTGATATTGGCTTTAGTAATTATTACAATGCCTACGTTATTTAAGCACTTTGCAACTCCGAAACAAGAGGACACTGTAGTAACCACGATTAGACAGGGCTATGGGGACATTATTTGTATATATATGATTAGTATTTTATTTGTGATCATGAACGTCGATCAAGGGGGTCATCTGTCCGACCGTCCTGTACAAGTATATACAGGAATTCGCGCTATATGCACATACATGTGCATGTGGCTTTTCAAGATTGGTAGAGCGCATGCTTTCCGATAATAGGATCCCGAGTTCGAACCTTTCCCACTGCCTTTTTGACCTTCATCAAAGCAATTTATCCACAATTATAGATGCTTTATACTCGGGTGTATAAATGAATACCCTGTAGGAGGTAAGACCCCTCATGTACAAGATCTTCTCAATGCCCATGAGCCGCTTAGGAGGATTGCTCCCCAGGGAGTTGAGATGGTGCACACAATGTGCGCTGGCTTGCATTGTTTCCTATGACCGGGCTAATAATATCATTGTAAAGCGCTCATCATTCAAAATTGGCGCTATATAACTCAAAATATAACTTTTAATTATAACTTATTATAGTTATTATAGTTAACTAATATTGGCTTTAGTAATTATTACAATGCCTACGTTATTTAAGCACTTTGCAACTCCGAAACAAGAGGACACTGTAGTAACCACGATTAGACAGGGCTATGGGGAAATTATTTGTATATATATGAATAGTATTTTATTTGTGATCATGAACGTCGATCAAGGGGGTCATCTGTCCGACTTCCTGTACAAGTATATACAGGAATTCGCGCTATATGCACATTCTTGTGCATGTGGCTTTTCAAGATTGGCAGAGCGCATGCTTTCCGATAATAGGATCCCGAGTTCAAACCTTTCCCACTGCCTTTTTGACCTTCATCAAAGCAATTTATCCACAATTATTGATACTTTATACTCGGGTGTATAAATGAATACCCTGTAGGAGGTAAGACCCCTCATGTACAAGATCTTCTCAATGCCCATGAGCCGCTTAGGAGGATTGCTCCCCAGGGAGTTGAGATGGTGCACACAATGTGCGCTGGCTTGCATTGTTTCCTATGACCGGGCTAATAATATCATTGTAAAGCGCTAATCATCCAAAATTGGCGCTATATAACTCGAAATATAACTATTAATCATAACTTATACTTAACTGATATTGTCTTTAGTAATTATTACAATGCCTACGTTATTTAAGCACTTTGCAACTCCGAAACAAGAGGACACTGTAGTAACCACGATTAGACAGGGCTATGGGGACATTATTTGTATATATATGATTATTATTTTATTTGTGATCATGAACGTCGATCAAGGGAGTCATCTGTCCGACTTCCTGTACAAGTATATACAGGAATTCGCGCTATATGCACATTCATGTGCATGTGGCTTTTCAAGATTGGTAGAGCGCATGCTTTCCGATAATAGGATCCCGAGTTCGAACCTTTCCCACTGCCTTTTTGACCTTCATCAAGGCAATTTATCCACAATTATTGATGCTTTATACTCGGGTGTATAAATGAATACCCTGTAGGAGGTAAGACCCCTCATGTACAAGATCTTCTCAATGCCCATGAGCCGCTTAGGAGGATTGCTCCCCAGGGAGTTGAGATGGTGCACACAATGTGCGCTGGCTTGCATTGTTTCCTATGACCGGGTTAATAATATCATTGTAAAGCGCTAATCATCCAAAATTGGCGCTATATTACTCGAAATATAACTTTTAATCATAACTTATTATAGTTATTATAGTTAACTGATATTGGCTTTAGTAATTATTACAATGCCTACGTTATTTAAGCACTTTGCAACTCCGAAACAAGAGGACACTGTAGTAACCACGATTAGACAGGGCTATGGGGACATTATTTGTATATGCCCTAGTAGTTTTGTGTGTTGCGAAAATATATTTTTTTCCTATTTTTTCCCTATTTTCTGGAAATGCAGACTATTTTTTTCCTATTTTCAAGTACAAACTATTTTTTCCCTATTTTTTTCACCTATATTTTTTTTCAGACTATTTTTTTCCTATTTCCTATAAGAAAACAGGAAAAAAATAGTTCTATTTTTTTCCTATTTTCAAGCACAAACTATTTTCCCCCATTTTTTTCACCTTCAACTTTTGTGGACTATTTTATTCCTATAAAAATAGGAAAAAAATAGTTCTATTTTTTCCTATTTTCGAGTACCAAACTATTTTTTCCCTATTTTTTTCACCTTCATCTTTTTCAGACTATTTTTTTCCTATTTTCTCAAAAAAAATATGAAAAAAATAGAACTATTTTTTTCCTTATTTTTTCATCTTAATCTTTTTCAGACTATTTTTTCCCTATTTTTTCCCTATTTTTTCACCTTTTTCTTTTTCAGACTTCTTTTTACCTATTTGCGATTAATATTTTCTTCCTATTCTTTGCACTTGAATTTTTTATGACATGATACAAATTTGTAAACTATTTTTTTGTCTATTTTCTAAACTTGCATATTTTCATTGTTTATGACTGGCATCCTTTTCAAAAAGCCCGCTTCTCCTGCCATTATCTCTGTTGTTCATTTTGCGACTTATTGGTGGTTTTTAGCTGTGGGGTCACATATTGAATAGTGAGCTCAAAGATGACCATAAATAAACAATGTGTAAAAAGAAAATGTACGAAATTTCAATTTTGTTCCTTTATCAATATTCTAGTCCCACTCGTAGAGAAACGAGTTTGTTGTCGAATGACGGACCGTCGACGAGCGGAACTGGCCCCAGAAAACAGCTGAAAAGGTACGTTTATTTCTGAAACTTAATTATATTATGATATACATATTTTTATTGTGTCTGTTGTTGAATATAATGCTACTTCATAGACATAGTAGGCCTATAGAATGTTATTTTACGTATCAATATTCCCATGTAGTGTTGAGGTTGTAGACTAGCTAGATGAGTACTAGATCTACACAACTTCTGAGTGAAGTGTAGTGAATCTCCAAGTGCAGTGTAGTGTCTGTTAGTGAATGAGTGAATGTAAACAAACGTGATTACAATAAATCCACGTATAAATTTCAGATTTTGTACCATTACTACGTCTGTCAATTATATTGCCTTGCATAATGTTTTGATGTGGTTTTAGGCTAAATTGTATCTCAAATTATTTTTCTAGGAATCAGAAAACACAACCTGCTAAAGCACCACGCAAGAAGAAGAGCAAGTCTTCCAAGTCCGAGAGTGTGTCTGCGAGGTATGTCCTTACTAAGTAGAAATCTAAATCTATTGTTGATAATTTTTTGGGGTTTATTTATTTCATGTTTGTTAGTTAAGATCTGACATCAAAATATTAGAGTAGTTTACCTCATCATTATGCTAGCACAATATTTGCAGGTGGCACAAGTTCTACCTATAGACCTAGATCTACATTATTTTTCTCTTTCCTTTTTATTTTTTTCTTCAAAAAATTGTTCCTTTACTATTTTCTTTTCTGTGTTTCATGTTTTATTTTATGTATGTTCACTCAATATATCTAAGAATAAAATAACTCTATGTTATTCTTTGTGATTGCGAAAAATCACATCTTGTAAAGAGGAAAAAACCCAATCCTGATGGGGTTATAAGTACACTCTCATAACGGAAGACTGAAAAGACATTGATAAGTAACATAATTATATCGTTTATAAATGTGAGTGAGCGTAGCAAGTGATCTTTGGGGGAAATTGCCCTTAGTCATTTTAAATTAGGAGCACGTTTAATGATGAGAGGAAAAGGGGACACTTATCAGAGGGATAAGACACCTTTTAAAAAAGAAAACGAGCACGTGTCAAAGTACAAAGAGTAAATATCAGAGGTGAAAGTAGGGCACTTCATATACCTGGAAAGAGGCATTCACCAGTGTTGAAAAAACGCACTTATGAGAATGGTAAATGGGCATTTGTCGACGCAAACGGGGCACCCTTCAGTTTTTGATAGGGGCATTTAGGAAAAAGGGATTTGAGGGGGTTTTCATGAGAAGGGGAAAGTGGCTGTTATTAAAAAGAAAAAAGGGGCACATGTTAAAATAAACGGGGCACTTATCAGAAATGAAAAGGGGTAATTATGAAAAGGCAAAGGGGCACTTGTAGAAGAACGAAAATGGACACACTCCATACTATTCACCTATTAGGTGAAAAGGGGCATTTATGAGAAGGGGAAGGAGCTTTTTTTTTAATGGGGCACTTATCATAAGGAAATGAGGCACTTATTAAATATGAAAAGGGGCACATGTCAAAATTAAAGGTACACTTATTGAAGTTATTAAAAGGGGAGAGGGGCACTTCTTACAAAGGGAAGGGGGCTCTTGTCAACGTAAAAGGGGCATCTCTCAAATGTGAATAGGGTAATTATTAGAGGTAAAGGGGGCACTTATCAAAAGTAAAAAGGGGCACTACTCGTACATGAAAGGGGGCACTAAATACATATTAAAAAGAGCACTTATGAGAAAGAAAAATGGACACTTATTGCAAAGGAAATTGGGAACTTGTCGAAGGAAATGTCAAAATAAAAGGGCCACTTATCATAGATAAAAGGGACACCTTTCTAATTAAAATGGGAACTTTTCATATGTAGAAAAGGGCACTTCTGACGAAGTTATAGGGGCACTCTTCATATGTAAAAAGGGTCACTTTTGGGGCACTTGAAAAAGTTGGGGGATGCGCTGAGACCCCCCCCCCCCCCCCCACCGAGCGCCACCTCTGCCCTTTAAACTACTTCTGGTTTCATTATTTCTTGGGAAACATGAATTGCAGCCAACATTTGTTATAAATCCAGGATTAAACTTATCTCTGACACAACACGCATAAAACATCATGAAAACAAATTAAAACATAATCTTTTCATGAGGAAGAATCAGAATAAATATTGCAAGAAAGTTTGGATGCAATATATTACCATTTATTTGATATATATAATTATATTAATCATTATTACGTGAACAACACATTCGACACTGACCCTCCCCCCCTCCCACCCCCTCCCCTCCCTAACTGTTCTTGAATAGAAACTAAAAGCTGTCATACGTAGCCTATTTTATATTATTAAATGTCTTCGTGTCAAATCAAATCAACCTTGGTTTAAATTTGGGAGACACATTTACATGTATAACAAGTCTTGAACATGTTTAGGTGGCGATTAAATATAGTTTCTCATGTATACTGCGAAATTATATTTTATTTTTAGCTATCATGCAGGCCCGTTTTGAGAAGAAAAATCCTAGCAAGACATTATTTACTGCCGTTTTATTAAGTCTTGGAGGGGACACATTTGCTGGTAATACTCACATAGTTATGTTGTTCAATTGTCAAAAAAATCAGCTCAGTAGTATTATATCTCCGCCACACTTCCGGAAGGTCGGATTGTTGATGGAGAAACGCCCATAATTCTCGAAAACCAGTTACTTTGCAGAGGCGACATAAATGTGCATCATGTGAATCCCAAACGTGTAGTGTATAATCCAATCAGAAAGGTCCAAGTTATACTATTCCCCTTTTCTCAGGGTTTTTCCCTAAATGACAACACGAGTTCGAGTCGCGGGGACTTCATGCAGTTCTAATGTGGTGGACTGGTAGCCGCCGAAGTACGTGTGCCTGTCTTGCACCGCTCTACCACATGTAGCAGACACAGAATTATACTCGTGTTATACCATGCCTATGATTATACCAGTTCGTTATACTTGGCTGTACCATGAACCCTGAGCCGCGTCTCACAAAACCGTCATAAGTACAAGTTCCGCGACATCCTATTGAAACGCGTGTTAAACTTAATACACGCATTTCAAAGGGATGGCGCTGAACGTGTTCTTATGACGGTTTCGTGAGATTCAGCCCAGGTTAATACACAGCTCGTGACATATATAGCAGCGCATCAGACTGTGAGCAATTGTATTGGCCTATTGTATTTACCCATATTCTATTGATCTAGTGGAGTTTGTTTAAATGCCCCATTCACAACGAAGAGCCCGACGCTAGAAGGTTACTTACAAAACACAATTCATGGGGCGCGATGGCTCACTGGTAGAGCGGTGGTCTTGTTACCGGGAGAAGTGGCGGAATCAGGGCGGGCAGGGGGGGGGGGGGAGGTAAACAAACAAAAAATTGATTGTAAAAAATATTTGGAGACGCCCCCCCCCCCCCCCCCTCTCCCTTAGTGTTCAGCGGGGGGGGGGGGGTGCGATTTTCGGGAAATAATTGCGTGTAATGATTTTGCAGTATAAAAGTATGCTTTTCCGTGCTCTGAAATACAATTTAAACCTACCCGAATCTTTTTTTCTTCACACAGTAGCTACACCCTCCTGTAGCCTACAGGGTATGTCAATAGAAGGAGTGTTTCTCATCATGTGTACACACCCTGACTACCATAGCCGCATGTTGAGAGGGATGGCGGGAAGGTGCTTCCCCCTATTGAAGGGAGCACGTACGTACGTCCAGTTGTTGTTGTTGTTGTTGTTGTTGTTGTTGTTGGGTTTATCGGCGCTATCCATCGATTCCGATGATTTCCGCCAGGCTGTGTGTGAGGGCGTCTTAATTGCTCTCACTTCTGCTACTCTACGTTTTTGTGATTCTGATACTTGCCCGATTTGTGAGATAAAGATTTACATTGACCTTTGTTATTGGCGAAGTACAAGGTTATGGAAGATTACAGTGCTCGTTACTCATTATTTGTTAGTCAGAATCTGCTCAGTTCTTTATATTCCCTACACACTTGATTCAAGCGAACCCGCCGAAGAGGGCGTTATCAACAAACTCATGTTTATGCTCATCAGCTCAGCCATTTCCGACGGGCGCTATTTAATTACTACGCCATCAGCGGCTGGTAGTAAGTAAGTAGAGGGAGGTAGCGTTGGTGTGGTGGAGATCAAAATTAAATAGGCCAGATTTTCGACTAGTACGTATGTGATGAAATCTAAAAATTATATATGTAGCTAGAGTGTTTTCCCCCAAAGCTGCAAAAGAGAAAGGTGAGAATAAAATAGAGGGAAAAAAAAGGAACGGTAGGGAGAATAAATAGTGAGAAAGAAAGAGAGAAAACGGGATTTAGGAAAAGAGAAGGGACCAAAAGCATGGAAGACAAAAAATACATAGCAAGGAAAGAATATAAAGATAGTATACAAAACAGGGGCGGGGCACGTGACGCCAATGCGAATTTTGTTTATATTTATTTAATATTTGCCTTTTGATCCAGGCACTATTTGTGTACATGTTCCTCGTTTTAAATCATCAATTATCAACAACCTTTAGTGTTTGGTGGGGGGGGGGGCATTTTAAGATTTTGTATGTGTTGGGGGTGGGCAGGGCCCCAAAGCCCCATTTTTTGGAGCCGCTACTGGCATGGCCTCCCCAAACGTGGACCTGAAACCTGGACCTGGAAACTACATTTACATTGAATTCAAGATGAAGTTTAGTTCTTGTCATGCAATTGCAATGTTAAGAAAGTATGAGAGGGACTAGTTGATCATATATCACATCGATATTTATTATACTGTGAGGTTTTTTGAAACCTTAAAATAAAAAGTGATTAAAGCTATGAGTTACATGCAACGTAAATGTGTATATATGGGACTGCACAAGCATGTGGCATGAGAGCGGTTGTCCACAACCTTTACTACTATTACTTGTCATATTTCGTGACTAGTTGATCATATATCACATAGATATTTCTTATACTGTGAGGTTTTTTGAAACCTTAAAATAAAAAGAAATTAACACAGTCTAGCCATGAGTTACATGCAACGTAAATGTGCATTGGGGACTGCACAAGCATGTGGCATGAAAGCGGTTGTCCACAACTTTTATTAATATTACTTGTCATATTTCGAGTATGAGAGCATTTTGAATAAAGAGCCATTCTGTTCAAAGGGGCGGTTTTCTATGATACTCATCCACACTAACAAACAAAGAATGAAAAAACCTTACACAAAGTCATATAAACCTTACCGAGTGTTTATTTGTTTGCAATATTTTGTGTTGTTCTTATTCTGTAAGTTTGTTGTTGTTGTATTGTTTGAATGGGAATTACACCTTTCAAGTTTTTAAAAACTTTTCTTTGTACTTTCAATTTGTTTCTTTTATTACATACATTTAACAACTAAATTAGTCATACCCTTGTAAATGTGATATTTTTGTGTTTTTAATAACTTAAGCAAGAAAGGTGGACTGGACAAATATGAGGGTCTTTGTTGGATTCCTTGTAGATGTAAGCTTTAATATGTCACATTCTCCCAAGAAACATAAATCGGGACAAATCATATTTTGTTTATACTCCAAACATTACAAAGCTTGGTAGGGGTATGCATAATAAATTTGTTAACTGTATGCGTATAAATTAATTAAATTTACACTGTATATAACATTGTCATTATTTCATTGAGACAAAGCATACATTTTACGGTTGAACATTTGAGCAAATAAAATAAAACGTTGAATGCTTGTCCAGACAGGGTTTCCTTTAAAGGTTGGACTTTGCCCCTAATTTGCCCTAGATATCTCGGCTAAATCTCGGGTCAACGGAATAATAGAAGGGAGCGCTTTGCATACAGAGAAAGCTAGGCAACACGGCACAATAACTTAACAGCCAAAATACTATTTTGTAACATCGTCGTTTTATTTTTTTTGGACTACTATTTACATTACTAGAAATACCCATAACAAATCGTCGGTGTTTGCTCGGTTCAATTTGTGTTGAGTTGTGTTCATGCGTAACTTGTGACTGTTTGATTGCAGTGTAAAAGCAGCTTAAAGATTTTCGCCTTCAACTAGAACCAAACATGCGATACTAGTTTAATAAGTTCAATCATTGCAATAACCCCCAAAATGGCTGTTCGACACCTCGGTGAGTTTGTCGTGATTGTATGCCTGACGTTGGTCACATCTGGGTCCTCGTACGCGGAACAATTACCCAATGTCGTGTTCATTCTCGCTGACGATTACGGATTCAACGACGTCGGCTACCATGGTCGATTGCACGGGTCTGCGATACTGACGCCGAACCTGGACCGGCTCGCAGGCGAGGGTGTTAAGCTAGAGAACTACTACGTTCAACCGATCTGCTCTCCAACGAGAAGCCAGCTCATGTCAGGAAGATACCAGGTAAAAACCAGGAATAATTAATCTAGCAATATATATATATATATATATATATATATATATATATATATATATATATATATATAAACAGATGTGAATAAATTATAATAAATACACATAAATATAAGGATTACAAATAGAGAAATTAGTAAATGACTTCTTTATCGTTCGTTCGTGTCTCCTTAGATCAAGATTACTGTATCTTGATCTTCAGAGTAGTTGCTACAACTGGCCGTGTCAAACACGTTGCCCCGTGGTGCGAGATAGGACTCTTGTAGCATGCCCCCACTTTTTTTTATTAAACTGCTAGACTATAGTTTTGTTCAGACGGAGGCAAGTTACCCTAGGGTAAAGGTCGTGTTAAGAGCTAGTCGGAGTAAATATGGTGAGGTAGGTGTAAAGATAGGAGTAGTGACCGTCTGAACGATGATCGTGTTAGTCACACCCCGACCTATTTACTCCTAGAAAAATCCAGGAGTAACTCACTATTAAATAATAATAATAATAATAATAATAATAATAATAATAATAACAATAATAATAATAATAATATTAATATGTCTTGTTTACCCAGGGTAGCTTCATCAGTATTCATACTGTTCTCCCTGACGGCCCTGCAATCATATCAGGGACTTTTAGATTTACACGTCGACAGCTTTGACTGCAACGTGTGACGTCATTTTAAGGCACTGCGCATGCTATTCCCCTTTTCTCAGGGTTTTTCCCCAAATGACAACACGAGTTCGAATCGCGGGGGACTTCATGCAGTTCTAATGTGGTGGACTGGTAGCCGCCGAAGTACTATTAAATAATAATAATATAATAATAATAATAATAATAATAATAATAATAATAATATTAATATGTCTTGTTTATCCAGGGTAGCCTCATCAGTATTCATACTGTTCTCCCTGACGGCCCTGCAATCATATCAGGGACTTTTAGATTTACACGTCGACAGCTTTGACTGCAACGTGTGACGTCATTTTAAGGCACTGTGCATACTATATACCAGTGAGCGGGCCTTGCCCCCCCCCCCTTCCGCAAAAGAGAGAGAGAGAGACAGAGAGACAGAGAGAGAGAGGGAAGGAAAAGAAGGGAAAGGGAAAGAGGAGAGAAAGGGAAAGAAAGAAGAGGAAGAAGAAAATAAAAGGGGGAAGAAGGAGATCGGGGGGGTGCGAAAGGGCCTTGCCTCCCAGGCTGTTGCCTCCCCCCGCCCCCGCTAAAAAAGAGAGAGAAGGAAGGAAAAGGGAAAAAATAGAGCTAAAAGGGACCAAAAACGAGGAAGAAGAAAAAAAATGTGAAAAGAATTTCGATGCGGTGTTCGAGTAGAATTCTGTGAGATGATGATATACTTTCTCGTAGCTTGATGTGACGAGGTGTCTCTATCCAGATATCTGTTGATAGTACTATAGAATATAGATGCCTGAAATGACCTTCTGCCCGTAACCGACAAGTCACCGCATTAAAATTAAATTGCAAATAGTGTTCAACAACACGATGGTGGATGCAACTTTCTAATATTCGAAGATATATGACCTTCAGACCATATTGTTTTATTATTTTTTATTCAATCAATCAACGTCAAAGAATTGATTTATCATCGTTCTTCAATTTAGCATTTCACCTTTTAATGTACTTTCATTCTTATGAATCACGAAAGAACACTGAATTGGATTCTTCAATGTTTGTTTTGATTAATTTCCTCCCCTTTCCTTCTCCCTGTTTAATACTGATAAAATTTCAATTTTTCTTAATCAAGGCAAAATATTATTTTCATTTTTTCTTTATGCAAGTAAGGAAGAGAGAGAGAGAATATGTTAAGTGAGAATTATCGAGTACAACTATGAATTGCATCCTTTTCAATATTATTCAATTCGCTGAAGATATTCAGAATATGAATATGATAAATCCTCATAATACACCAACGCTGTTCAACGCATCCTACGCTCCAACCATAGCCCATACGCCAATGCACCATATTATAGTATTAATGACTGCTTTGAGAGAAATAGTTGTTTTATTACGCTCAAGGGAAGGTTAGAATTGTGCTATTCCCCGAGGCTTGCCGAGGGGAAAAACCCAATTGTAACCTTCCCGAGAGCGTATGAAAACAACTATTTCTCGAATATTAAAGCAGTCATTAATACTTTTATATGCCGAAAAAATAGACTAAAAAATAAAAAATAAAAAATAATTTACATTTATGTCGAAGACGGGATTCGAACTCTTGCGTACAACAAGAGGTGTATCGAAAACCAACGCTTAGACCACTCGGCTATCGCGCGCCGTTACCATGCTTGGCAGTTTTCTCCAATATATACATTCAAATGGATTGAAAACGGCTCCGCGTGAGGGATGCTTCGCAAAAGCTCCATGAAACGGACCCTTCTTTTACTTTTGCAATGCATATTGGCACGAACTTAGATCAAGATCTATCGGCAGATGTTGTTTTTTTGTTTTTGAGAGTTTATTTTCGTCTTCATGTCAACAATGCAAGATAAAATTGTCGGTAAGATCGATCGAGATTCAATTGTATTGAAATTGCCGACCAATTTTTCGCACACGTATGGTATCTGAGGGACCAGTCACTAAAGAGGAAATAAAGGGAAGGAAAATTAAGAAAGAAGTAAATAAAAGAAGGGGGATATCAGTAGTAATTTTCCCGCCAACAAGTTGCGGATCGGGATCGGGGTGGGGCAAAAGTACCATTTGCTTCGAGGCTGCGCCTCTCAGCAAATAGTACTATTGGGGTCACCTCTTGCACATAGTTTTAACCCAGAACCTCTCAATACAGTGTATATTTGTATACTAAATCCACACAGGTATCGAACACGGAGTCATGAGACACCCTTAAATTATTAATAAACACAGTAGCATTTTAGGAAACGAGCTGTTCATATAATGATTATCAACGAGGATGAGGGACAAAGTTTCTCTATAATGTATCCACGTCATCATAGTGATATATTCTTTACCAGATCCACACGGGTCTCCAACACGGCGTGATCAGACCTCCCCAGCCGAACTGCCTCCCGTTGGATGAAGTCACGCTCCCGCAGAAACTCAAGGAGAATGGCTACGCCACTAACATGGTCGGTAAATGGCATATTGGCTTCTACTTGGATGCTTGCTTGCCAACTGAGAGGGGCTTCGATTCTTACTTTGGTAAGGCTTATTTTAATGAGCATTATTTAACGAGTAATAAATGTACCACTACTGCTACTTGTACTACTACTACTAAAATGTTGATAATAATAATGACAATAACAACAGAAAATACAATAAAATGATAATACTATTGATAATTTCTATAAAAAAAAATAATGAAAATAATAATAATATTTATAACAATAATATTGATGATAATAATACAAATAATAAGGATAGTAATAATATCACAAATATTAGATATAATGATTGTTATTAGTATTATTATTATTGCTACTATTATAGTGTTGTTAATTATTGAGATAAAATAAACATGGTTAATAAAAATAATGGCAACAACAAGAACAATAATGATTAAAGTAATAATAATAATGTTAACAATACTAACAATAATAATAATACTATACAAACAATAACAGTTATACTAAAATTGAATTATAAAAGTATCACTAATAATCATTGCAATGGTATAATGATAAGTAACATCCAGAGTCAAACGTGCTTTAAGGGCAACCTGTATAGACAGACCACCTGTCTATACAGACCATATTTTCTGCAACCCTCGAAAGTAATTAATTATGTAAACATATATGAAAACATAGGCCTATGCTAAAGGAAGCTGTACATAAAGATCACCTGCCTAGAAAGATCACTTTTCGTGTCTCCCGTTAACGATTTTTATGTACAGGCACTATGAATATGACGGACAAAGAAAGCAGACAAAATATACAGTTCATCATTCTACCCTCAACAATTGCTGTGGTATACAATGGAACATCCCTTCACTGCTATTATGTAAAAATAAGTAGCACAGGTGAATATGCATTTGACACCTGTTCTACACATTTTTACATAATAGCAGTGAAGGGATGTTCCTTTGTCTACCACAGCAATTGTTGAGGGTAGAATGAGGAACTGTATATTTTGTCCGTCATATCCATAGTGAGGTTTCACTGTATTCTCACTGAACATTTTTGTTCTTCTTTTTTATCAGGATACCTGATAGGAGCTGAAGACTATTACACGCACATGCGCTCCTACAATGTCGGTTCCAAGACCCTATCAGGATACGACCTACACGCCAACAAGACAACTGTCTATCAATACAAAGGACAGTATTCCACCCATCTCTTCACGAATAAAACAATTGATGTCATAGAGAGGCATGACAAGACAAAGGTACGTTTACGTGGACAGTTTTTGAAGAGCTCGTTCCCAAAATAATATTTTTGTTTTCATTTTCATTTTTTAAATTTTACTCGTTTGCATCATTATTTTTATTTCATTGCTAATTAAATGCACATATTTTTCCTTTTTTTCAAAATTCTCCCAGCCCATAGATTAAGAGTGATTTTTTTTAGAGGTTGGTTTTATATATGCTTTCTAAACACAAAATAGTTAAATGGTGTTTGGCACACTTTATTTAAAGGCAACTCATAAAGACCGTCAACACTACTGGGCCAGAAGGGATAAGACCACACAGCGAGGTCACTGACAGGTGGCTATCTCATTAACTCAGCTCTCAACTAACATAAGAAAAAGGGGATCATGGGGGACCAACAGGCACCGATTGGGGAAGTTTTCTATATAGAGGTAGTAAGTAGCTACAAGTAGGACAGTGGGGCTTTAAGGGCACTCTTTCTGTATCTGACTTACTTTAGTTGGATAAGAAAATCTTCACGTCTTCGAGCTCAGCCAGTTTGCAGGGAAAGTGTTTCTACGGATTATTTGAGCATTAATCGTATTCGTTCTTTTTCATTGTATCCTTTTGTATTTGTACCTTAAAGCCATTGTTCATGTACATTAATTACTGTAGGTAGTAGAAAAGTTTCCCCACCTCAGAGCTTAGCCACCTTTCATGAAACATATTTCTATGGATTATTTGAGCATTATTTTCATTTTTTCTTTTGTATTTGTACCTTAAAGCCACTCTTCATATACCTTGCATATCAAGCTGTACACTTTCCTTTGGAAGTACCTGACAGCTACATGGACCCATACATGAACATCACAGACAAAAACAGACGTACCTATGCCGGAATGGTATCTTGCATGGATGAAGGTGTAGGAAACGTCACAAGAGCTCTAAAGGAAGCTGGTCTTTACGATAATACCATCATCATATTCTCAACAGGCAAGGAAATGCACGTATTTATATTTATATGTAACCCTATCGAGACAGCTCTCTCCCCCCCCCTCCCCCCCCCCCCCAAAAAAAAAAAATAAATAAATAAATAAAAAATAAAAAAATAAATAAATAATAAAATAATAATAATCATAATAAAATAAAAATCATCAATGAAAAAAGATGCAACTAAGAACAAACCTTTAAAGGGAAAGGGGGAACAAAACAGGGAAGAAATACCAGATGCATAAGTAGAAATGGCATTTCTGTTCATATGTACATGTCTACTAAATCTATTTAGGTTGAGTGACCATGATTTAAATTAAAACAAAAAAATAAACTTTAACATCCTTCAAACAAAGGAAACAAAAAGGGAGGTTCAAAGTAATTTTTTCGAGCATAATTTGTAATTTTCGTAGCTTTTCAGGAAGGTTCATAGCCATGTATAGCTTTGTGAGACAGCACATTACATTGCAGCAATGTAACAATAATGGAAAATCATTTGTTGTTAATTTGAAGAACTTCAAGTGATTAGTTAAGCCATAAAATCCTGTTATGAAGATGGACAGGACTTATTTTATACACTTTAAACATGTCCACTGTGTAAGGTACAGGTAAACGACCTTTACAAAATGGCTGGACAATAATTGAGCATAATGTAAACACAATTTTCGACAGTAGATGGCGACATTCCTGCCACATTGTACAAGTTACACATGCGAAGATACAATACTGGGGAAGACGATAAGACAATGTTTTTTTTTTCCCGGCTTCCATAGAGAATGTACCGCAATGTCAACTAATTCCTTATCTTACTAATTTATTTTTCAGGTTTTATGAACTTCCCCGATGGTTTAATGAGATCTATGTAGGCACCATCATAATCTGGTACTTATAGTTTATTGGTTCTGAAATTATTATTTCTTCCCAGTTCTCGAGCCATTGTATTTGCATTGGAAACGGAAGAGCCTTTGCCGAATGTACCAATGGTCGGTACTGCCCTCTATGGCCGAATACCGTAGATGCGGTAGCGAGAATTTTAGCAGGATGGTATGGGTAATGTAGTGTTTTGCAGTTTTTGAATGCACATTTGATCACTTATTATTATAGAATTCAATTTAGGTTTCCTTCTTTTTCTTGAACAGATAACGGGGGTCCAATCCAAAGCGGTGCCAACAATTGGCCACTTCGGGGAAGCAAAGGATCCCTCTGGGAGGGAGGGATCCATGGAGTGGGGTTCGTACACAGCCCTCTTCTACCAACGTCAGTCAAAGGAACGGTGAATCATGAATTGATTCATGTGAGCGACTGGCTACCGACTATTGTAGCAGGCATTGCAGGTGGAGCGTTGAATGGAACTAAACCCTTAGACGGCTACAATGTCTGGAGCTCTATCAGGTACCCTAGCCACCAGGAACTCTCCCTTTCCTCTACTTCTTTTTGAATCTAGCGAATCGTTATATTTGAACTCATATCAGGGATGTTTAAAGGTATAAGAATCTTCTATTATGTACTTTTTTCATTAATGGTACTATGTCCTATTTGCAGGCCCCAAAAACTGAAAAGGTTAAATTCCAATGGCATTTGAAAGATGATACTGATTTAGAACTTCCCAAAAAGTGGGCTTGAAAATGTCTTTAAAGGTGAAATTCAAAGAAGATCACAAATATGTCAACTAATGTATCACTAGAAACTGGTAAGCTAACGGATGGCCATCATACAAGCTTTAGGTCAACTACATATCGGGTGATTTATAAAAAATACAAATACAACCACCTCCATAGCAGCTGGGATATACGAGAGATTCGCCGGAAAAATAACGATGTTTTAATGACGTCACTATATGGACCAACACTGCCCAAGCAGACGACATCCCATAGAGAATGACCATAATTGCAAAGCTATTATTTCTCAAATTATAATGAGTTTAGTGTATATAAATGTAATAAATGTCAAACCATTCAAAAGGGAGTATGGCCCGATTCTGATAACTAAAATCGTTTGCTTGTAAATACTCAGGATAGGGGTTAATTAACAATCAAAGAAACCAGACTTTCGAATTGAAAAACCCCCGGAATGATATTAAGGACGGCATTTGTTCCCTCTTGAAACGCCGAACATACCGCGTAGTGTGCAGCTGAATATACAACGACGTCTTATTTTGCTTACAAGCGACAGATTCCTTTATTTTAATATCGCTGCATTTGTCATCAAAATAAACCATGCGCGGGGTTTAGAGTGAGGCAATAGATTATACATTTAGCCTGACGGTAGTGAAGTAAGAGAAAGACCTCAAGAGAAGATGAAAACACAGGCACTGAAAATGTGTGAGATGTCATGGGACATCGTCTGCTTGTACAAGTCATGTCCATACTGTGATCTCACACATCTCAGCAGCGTTCGGAGAGCTCTTCGGGTGCTATGCCGGGGCTGTATTTAAGCGTTTTGTAATTTATGATAATCATAACTTCGAATGTTTCCTAGCATTGAATTGTGATAACCTTGTCGAATCAAAGTTTGAACTTGCAATAATGAAAATAAAGTTAGTTTTTTTAAATCAATGAATATCTACTTTAAGTGGGAAAATAATGACTATTAGTTGTCGAATCGACTAAGTGATAACAATACAGTACGTAATAGTCTGATTTTCAGACCATTGAACAGAATGGTCGTACGTTTTGTGCTGCGCAAAGATTCAAGCAGTTTAATTTCGGCCATTACAAGAAGTGGGTTATTGATGTTACTTGTAGACAGATGCTCATGTACCCTTTACAGCTCTGTTTATGTATGTTTTTACCAAAGAAGAGAAAAAAAGCCAGTCAGTCACTCAAGTAACAGTGAATTCTAGCAAGTAAACGGGTTTCCTTGCATAATTTGAATATTAGGACACTGCTAACGTTTAAATTTCACAGATAGGACATACCAGACATATTCATAATGGCTGCAAAAGGGACAGAGTATCTTTAAAGCGCAACTCCATTTTGGGGAACTTTTTTTGTATTATTAAAAACTTTACGTATTTTGGTAAATTCTTCTCTTCCGAGACAGAACTTTCCTTTGGGACTCAATTAATCAAATATTGTTTTTCTAACTAACAATATTTTTCTTTCAATGCTACATTGTTCAAATGAAAAAAGTATATTTGGGTAAACTTTTGATAGAAAAGTTGAACTAAGGGCAAATTTCGATCGAGAAACATTGATTGTGAAATTTCTCAATTTGTTGCTTATTTAAAGATTTGGAAGCCTATTTTCCCATTAAAAAACCTGGCGTCAAACGCAATGTGGTTGTGTTTTAAACATGGACTCAATGCGCGAAGGGATTTTTGCCGATGTCAATAGGTGAAACTCAAGGATATTGAAATCGCGTTTTTATTTACTTTCGCATTTGTAATTATTCAGTGGTACAGCCTCGTCCCCTCGAAAGGAAATCTTGCACAATATCGACTCGCTTTACATCGCTCCCGAGATTCTACCGAGTTACTTTGATGGCGAGGATTTTCTGTGGCGATTTTTGGCGCGAGTTTTGGAAGACAAATTCGATACGTCAATAAGAGCTGCGCTACGCGTCGGAGACTGGAAAATAAAGACAGGGCCAGACGGTGAGTGCCAAATTATCTCAAAGTTATTCGCTCATGTTCGCAATATCACAGATAAACTACGACTACTTCTTGTAGCAGTACTGGTAAAGATACTTCCAATTCTACTATTAATACTACTACGACTACGACTACTACTTCTACTACTACTACTACTACTACTACTACTGAAACTTTCAACACTAGTACTGCTACAACTACCACTAGTATCACTAGTACTACAGCAAATTTTGTCGTCGTTGTCATTTACGTAAAAAACGTTATTTCTCCATCCCATCCTCTCTTTGTGACAATAGCATCGGCATCCGATGTGTGGCAGCCGCCAGCCGAGTCCGGACTCCATACGATATATCCGATAGAGAAACCGAACCAAAAGGTATGGCTCTTCAACATAACCGCCGATCCTCTGGAGCGAACCGATCTTTCAGGAAAGTATCCGGATGTTGTCGATGAGTTTCTTCAGAGATTAGAGGAGTATTACAAAGGTTCGGTTCCCGTGCGGTATCCAGATCCGGATTTGGAAGCGGATCCAGCCTTGCATGGCGGTTCATGGGGTCCATGGGAGTAAATCCATAGCAGGTTTAAGGTGAAACTGCTTCAAACGATAAAAATAGCAGTGGTTCTACTAGGACCCGACCCCCCCCCCCCCCTGACCCATATATGACATGAAAATGGTTGGATAGAGAAGAGGAATGAACAGAAAAGGAAAAATAAAATGGAAAAAATAAACTGGAAGAAGAAAAGATGAAGCATTGGCTGAGCTAATTGATTTGTCAGATAATTTCGTAGCAAAACAGCTCATCAAAATCCAGGTGAAATTTGTGTTTGTTTGTCGTAGAACTTTCGGACTTTCCCTCCATCCTGTGGCAGAAAATCCTTGATCCACCAATTCACGTTGCAGTAACCCAACGGCTAACAAGACCGACAACAAGTAATTTTACGACAAGTATTAACCCTGATTTAAAAAAAAGAAGAAGTTGTTGTTATTTACAACGACAAATGAATACAATTGATCTAGACATCACAGAAGAATCTGTTAAAAAGCAGAGGTAAAATAAAAATGTTATTTATATTTACTATTTCATTAAACTTTTGATGTAAGGTTCAATTGATACATATTCTGAATAAATTCTAAACTCGGCTTCTAATCGAGCGTTTAAACTAGAAATAAGAGGCAAAAGTATTGCTAGCTTGTTCCCTGTTAAAAACATGAGTTCATTAATGTTCCACAAGACAATTTATATCATGAGAAACATGTTCTTTCTTTCTTATAACATAACTATTTTAATTTACTACACTTCTATTTTCTCTATGGCTTATATATATATACCATACAACGACAGTATAATGCAATGATTGTGCACTCATATTGATATGGAATTTACAATACTCTTGTCTATGGAAGAACGTGTGTTTCCTGAAAAAAAATTCAAGAAATCTGAAGTTGGTCAAATTCACGAAAAATGAGATACATTTAGGTCTTGCCTTAAAAAATAGAAACATTTTAAACTATAATTGCAGAATTTATTTGGAGAAAAAAATGGTGCTCATTATATAAATGTCTTACGTACCGAAAAAATAATAACCTATGGTTTCTACAGTTTGGTTTTAGACACGGTAATACGACGAATATGGCTCCTCTTGAATTTGCTATTACGATATCAATGTTTATGAGACTAAATATTTTTTTTTGGTGATATTTTTTAAGTATTCAATTATATTAATCACAACAAAATCTATCGACGAGATTTATCGTCACGATATCCATGGAATAACACTAAAACGGTTTTAAAATGATTTCAATGACAGCAAACATTTTGTATTTGTATACAATAATAAATAAAATAAATGAAATATGTGTGATATAAATATAGGAGTTTCCCAAGGATCGGTAGTGGGACCGCTGTAGTTCCTTGTTTTCATTAATGACTTGCAATATGTAAGCCACATAATTGTTTGTGTTATATTTACAGGTCGCAAAATCTTGTCCATCTTTGTAAAAGATATCACTTAAATTAACCATTCATTAAATGTTGAATTAAAGTCTATTTTTAAATCGTCTACCAAAAACATATGGTACAAAATCAAAGAAGAAACGTGTTTTGTAGATTTCAATAAAAAATAAAAGGATAAATGAAAAGGGGATGAAAAGATACGTGGAAAACAATGACATTCAGCCATTAAAATAAATTGTTGATGCCTTTATTCACGAAACTTTACCTAGAGAGTACACAAATATATTGTTGGTTTGAGATGTCTACAACAATAATTGGTGCAATAAATCGTCTGAAATGTACAGTACCGAATCAAGTACTTTTAACTTTGTATCGTACAACGATTTTTTCATACATAATGTTGTGTTCTACCTATGGGCTCAAAGTGCCCGTTGCCTCCTAGACCGAGTTTTAGAATGTTAAAAAGGTGACATTCGTATTATTAGCAATTCAGCACCTCTCTCCTGTGATTCTGACCTTTTTAAAACGTGCATTTCCAATTTGGAGCTGTTCTCTTAATCTCAAAAAAATGTATCTATATGACAACTTGGACGTGCCCCAAATAATTAGATTTTGGGGATGTTGTTGCTTCTTAGTGCTTGTGTTTTATTTGTTCTTTTCATTGTAATGTTACTTAATTCGGCCTAATTAATCGTATATATTTTCTTATCCCAATCTCGCTTGGGGATTATCCCGAAAACGGCGTTAAAGGTATTACAAAGTTTTGGTAAATTTTGAAAATTGTTTGGATAGTGATTCTTTACAATTTTGATATATTTGGATGCCCCTATGGATGTATGTTAAGCACTAAAGAAATTAGCTCCTAAAACACTACTGCTTTCGAGAAAAATTGAATATAAAAATGTACCGGTGCTCCCGGTAAATTGTGTTAAATTTCAAATAGCGCCTACGGCACGATCAGCGCGAGACTTCCGCGCGATGCCCTTGCGGGGATTGCGCAATGCCACCTACGACATGTCTACGTGCTACGATTTTTTCAACTTGTATAACTTCTCGCGAAACATAATCGTAGATATTGCGTAGCCCGTGAATCCGTACGAAAATCTCACAGCCGCCGCCTGCCTCCGCACGGAGCCCGCACGAAAAAGGGGATACGGGCAGGATACGGGCTCCGTAGACTAATCGGAGGCTTAATGTAATCCAGGCATTAGTTATGAGCTTTCAAAGGCTTGCAACAGGACTGCACTACTTATAGCTATTTACGCCCTCTATATAGCCAGCGATGCCTAAGCGGTACGCGTATTTTTTTTCTTCACGTTAGTGAGGAAATTTCTCGATTAATTCCAATGAAAACGCTCGCGGAGAGCTTATGTGCATATATTACCATATGTGCAATATGTAATATTTTGCTTATCGTAATCCGGGAACCCTAAACACATGGGTAATACCACTTCAAGAGTTTTTTTTATGACGAGGAAGTCATTTATGACACCGGTTCTTATTTTTAAGTAATGCAATTGTCTTAAATAGCATAATTAGCATAATGAGCTAATTAGAATATGTACAACATATGGTCTTCATACTCATGAGCCTGAAAAGGGGTCAATTCAACATTGTAAATCTCTTTTTAAAGACAATACATTAATTCACGAGAAGATATTCCATCTAGATGTAATACAATTAGCACGATTAACATAAGTAAATTTGCATATTTGCATTTATTGATATAGGTCTAGTTTATCCAAAAAATTTGGAATGACAATTTTAATGTGATTTTTGTTATGACAACCAATATTTATCTCAGAGGTTAATCACGTTGCTAGCATAATTAACCTAATTAGCATATTAATCTAGCAATTGCCTAAAGGAATTGTGATTTTCTGTCTGAAAAGACAGAATACATAGGTATTCATATTTAATTTCCCACTGTAACAGTGATAAGAGCAGAAAAAACAGTCATGACAGAGGCCGTGAAATGCCGGGCCAGAGCCTGTTTCGAGCACTGGACGGCACTTGTGTAGGGACACGATAAGAGAAAAGACTGGGACATCTGCTTCCTCATGTACATAGATGCTATCATTCTGACTGTCAACGATTGTTCGCTCTCCATAGTCAAATGTTGAGAGGAGTGCAGAAAGTTGCCTCTTATTGTTCATACTATTCATGATTGCTTCTCTCTTAATTATATCCCAATACTTAAACTCAAAGAAGAAAAGAACAACATTATAAATATATTTGCCACCATAACCATGTTTAAGTCGTCCCAAACCATTTCTCTTTATCTTTAATAACTGACTGGTCTCTGTCATGACTGTTAATTCTGCTCGTATCACCGTTACAGTGGGAAATTAAAAATGAATACCTATTTTGGATAAACCTACAGAAATCCACAAGGCCATTAAGCAATGGCCTGTTTAAAATGCCAATTAGGTTAATTATGCTAGTTAGGCTAATTATTTTGCGTTCAACGTGATCAACCTCTGAAATAAATATGGGTTGTCATTTTTTTAAAAAATCACATTAAAATTGTCATTACAATTTTTTTGGATAAAAATAGACCTAGGCCTATATCAATAAATGCAAATATGCAAATTTACTATTATGTTAACTAGGCTTATTGTACTATATCTACATGGAATATCTTCTTATGTGTTAATTAATGTGTTGCCTTAAAAAAGTGATTTACAATGTTGCATTGCACCATTTTCAGGCTGTTTATTTCATAAGAATGAAGTCCATATAATGTACATATTCTAATTAGGTTAATATGCTAATTATGCTATTTAAGACAATTGCATTACTTAAATATAGAAACCGGTGACATAAATGAAATCCTCGTCATAAAAAAATCTTGAAAAGTGGTATCATCCATGTTTTTAGGCTTCCCGGATTAAGATTGCACTTATGCTAATTTGATGATTATGCTAATAAGGCTTATAAATAGAATTGCCCAAGGTTGCCAAGATGGCAACCAAGCTGAATTTACCTCCAAACCCATCTAGAACACGAATCAACAAAAAACACCTTGTACTTAACACCTTTTCCGGGTCTGAAAAACTTCTACCGGACTATACTGAAATTGTTTTGTCGATGGGTTTGTGTGTACATGTGTATGTATGTTCACGCTCGTTGCGCTGATTTCTGCTCTCATATTCAACAGCAAATTGCAAAATAAATACCAATATTTGTGTTTAATATCTGTAACTGCTCCGAATCTTGTGATGTTCAAATGGTTGAAGGGGTTGCAATTATGAATAACTTGTTTTCGACCGGTGTGACCGCGCCGTTTGTCCTACCAGTTTCGTTTTTCCCGTCGGACATAATATGCGGGTTTTCTGCTCGCACGGATCGTCCGTGACTCGCACGGATCGTCCGAGGGACGATCCGTGCGGATTGCTATCCGCGCAGTCTGTCCCCCCATTGTTTTTACGTGTATATTTGATAAAAAGGAAGAAACTCGGCAAATCAATGTATTTAGACTCATTGTAAATCATGTGGTAGGCATTTTTTCTAGAAATTACATAATAATAACTCTCTACAATTTTTTAAAGCAAATGGGCCAGTCCTTTTGAAAGTAGAAGTGAATATTTTCTTTAAAACATTTATTATATGAAGGCATACTCGTGATATTTCTTCTTGTTTCTTGTTTGTTTTATTTCCACTTTTTCATATCAATACAAAGAAACATACAAATGAATATAATGAATAACATGTAAGTTTGACAAAGTTTGTTTCTAGTTTAAATAAAAGTTTCATACTGTTACAAAAGGAAAAAGCAGGAGACCACACGTAAGCGTAAATGCTTGAACATGACCGTGGCCTCTGCCGAGTTAACAAAATAAAAGAACAACCCATGCAACTGCATTGTATTCAATGTTAAATAAGATATAAGTGAAGTGATTAAAAGTGAGCATGGCTGATTTAATTTTGAGTGAAAATAACAAAACAAATTTAGTGAAATATTTCGTGTTGAGAAGTGCATTTGTGCAAGGTGCAAAAAATTTAGCTTGGTGGAACAAAAAGAGACTAATACCGTGATATTTAATTGTGTGTTGGTTTCCGTTACGGGTGATAATATTAAAATGTATGCAGGGTCCATTTCTGTTGACAAAGACAGAACAATTCAAGACATAACAAATTAGATAATTTTTAAATTTCTATGTAAGATCTAGTAAACTATACTGAG